TACAAACATTTTAATGCAAGGAAACTCGTGGCCCTTACACCTTGCAAATGGGATAATACATTTTGTTTAGTTTAGGTGGAAGCAGAGAGGTCATTGACATGACAGGTAACTTCATAAACTCCATTCTGACAGACACTATTACGTGCCAGAAGACAGAAGGCGTGTAAAGTAGAACTACTATGTAAAATAGTTCAAATTTCTTTCCTTAAAATGCACTTCATGTTTTAAATAATAGATGTTTATCTCCCAGGTTAAACCTTAAATATTCTCATTTTCACTGAAATGGCGTTTTTCTAAAGGTTAAAATTATTCCTCAAATTCACTGTCTTCCATGGCCATCAGAGAACTGCTATAGCAGGGGCCCTAGGGAGTCTTGAACTGTCACTTTATAACCATCTGACCCCAGCCAGGCTGGGCTGGAGCCCTTGGGCTACTCTAGGCCCTGCCCACCGAGAACATTTTGGCTAAAGATCCATTTACATATTCCTGTGTTAATTTTCACAAAATGGAATACCAAATGGCAAAATTTGCCTCTGACTCTCTGCCTTTCTTTACATTTCCCATTGTAAAACCATTTTTTGTCCAATAGAGTAAATGTTTCTTAGTAAGGTCATTAAGTAGATGAAGGACTGGCATCTTATCCCTTGGGAGTTGAGCAGACCGGATGGGCTGGTCCTGGTCTCCCATCCCACCTGGACACTCATTGCAGAGACACATATTTTCATACAGAAAAGGATCTTTTGTTCTAAAGAGAAAGAGATTTTGTTCCTGTAGAGTTAGCCAGTGCTAGCAGCAACCATTCGGAACCTTGTGGTGGAGGCAGACTTTACACATGGATGGCCCTGGGCATGAGACTGTGTAGCATCTGTGTTTAGCTGGTTTCTTGGTTACTGTCCTTGTCCCTGAGACACAATAGCCCATGCCCACAACCTGAAGGAGGAGAGGTTTGTTTTGGCTCATGGTTGCAGGCCATGCTCTATAGCAGGACAGCATGGCAGAGGGGCACAGCAGAGGGATAGTTGCTATACCTCAGGGTAGACAGGAAGCAGAAAGAGTGAATGGAGGAGCCAAGGAGGGAGTCAGACCCCACCTCCTAACAGCAAGTGCCCCTATGATGGTTTGGGGGCCCACTTTAGATCTAAACTGTATCAGCTGGCAAGGCACATGGGGGAGAGGGGACACCCCACTCTCTTGCCACACCTGGTGCCGACTAAAGCCTTCTACTTTGACACTTTGAGCTCTTCCGGGAAGACCAGGGACTCAGTGGGCATCCTCTACACATGTGTCCTAATCCTCAGCATGAGCCTGAAGACAGCGGCACAGGCCTTCTGTGGCAGACACATGTGTATTAGGAGGAATACTCAACTTGTAATGAAAGAATCAGTCTGAAGTGATCAGTTCATGGGCATTGTGACCATGTCATACTCAAAAATACATATGTCTTTCTGCAAGAACTCATCTGGAGCAGAGCCAGTTTTCCAGAGCACATGCAGAGTGTCTGAGGACAGTTGGGAACAGGCACCATTTCTGGGTCTACCTGCCACACAGACCCGTTCTACACAAAGCCCATCTTCTGTCCTTATGAAGCCCACAAATGATGTTCAGAGCCTCCATTGGTCACTCTGCAGCCTGTGACAAGCACTGGCTTTAAGAATTAATCAGAGCTGCCAGAGACACCCTGCAGAAACCCCATTCTAGTGTCTAGAGATGGCTGGGAGGCAGATTCACTCAGGCCTCAGCAGTCAGTACTCTGACGTGTGGCACAGCGTCTTGCACACGGTGGTGACATCTGTGGGGTGTCATGAAGGAGATAGACAGATGGATTGACAGGGCCATTGGTGATTTGACCCACTGGCAGCTCCTTATCTGATCCTGGTCCTGTGGGGCAGGCTATCACACCTGAGAACTTGTGTCTTCTGTCCCCAGATCCCCAAATCTGCCCTCACAGGTGACCCAGAAGTATGTCCTAGTCTTGACACTCAGCTCACTGACTCTGAATCTCTCTCCAGAACTCTAGGCGCCAGTGGATCATCTTATGGGATCCTTTTCTGATGTCTTCATCTTTTAATTGAGGAAATCCAAACAGTGACCAAGTCTTTTGTCAACATGGTTTTCACAGATGGTTCCTGCTGGTCTGAGCTGTGCTGTAAATGCAGGCATTAATGTACTCATGAGGGCCTCTCAGCCATTTCTTAGCTTTTTTCCCGGTACTAGAGATGAAGCCAGGACCTTCACACTGAGCTACTTTGTCAGCCCTTGTTTTTACTTTTCACTTTGAGACAGGGTCTCATTATGTTACCCAGGCTGGGCTCAAACTTGTGACCCTCCTGACTCAGCCTTCCATAATGCTGGGATAAGGGGCCTGCACCACCACACCCAGCTTTTTACTTCTTGTTCTTACATTCAACTCCCCTATGCATGTGCTGAAGAGTCTCAGTCAGACTACGGAAGAGAAAATTAGTGGACCTAGAAAGACCCACCCATGTGGTCCATGGGACCAGGGGCAGGGAAACAAACTTTTGCTACAGACAAACCTCCAAGTGTAAAGGATGAGTCCTTGGCCAGCCACCACCTGGTTTTGCCTCCACCTGAGTTGTTGCCAGCTGTCATTCTCTGTTTTGATTCAGAGAAGACCAGGATCCTCCTGAGCCCTGTTTGGGGGCAGGCTGGGCACCTCCTTCCCGACGTGGAAACAACATGCTTTCACTTTTAGCACAGACCCTCAAAGCCCTTTAGGAAATGTCCCCTCTGTTGAAACTCCCACCCCACCAGGTCCTGGAACCAAGCCTCCTGTGCTCATTGAGGCAGCAAATTACTGTGTCTGCACTTGAGTTAGCCTTTGATGCAATAGAGAACACATTTTTTTTTCCCTGCTGCTGGTGGCTGTGGGCCTGATAATTGAACGAGAGGATGCAGGCTGTACCTGTTTGAAGTGCGCCCTCAGCCCAGGGTCCTTTTATCTTGTGGCAGTGTTAGTGCTGGCCAAGTGCCATGTGTTGGTGATTCGGAAGAGTTAATGAAAATCATGGTGCGTTGGCCTCTCGTAATGAGCAGCCCAGCTTGCATCAAGCCAGAGGCTGTGGCCGCCAATCTTTGCAAGAAGGACATGTGAGGGGCCAGTGCCTTGTAAAAAGCCAGTACCCATCGCCCACATCAAAATCCAGCAGCAACTAATTGCAATGTCTGATTTTCTGTTTCCCATTTCTGAAGTTCATTGTTTTTTCCAAAATGGCACATTAAAAAGAAAGTCACAGACCTCTACCAGCCCATGAGGTTGGAATTCTGCTTAAAGTCAAGCAGAAAAATGGGTTGGACCCAGGGGTGGTTCTATGTTCCCTCCCTTCCCAGATATCTCACTTTCTCTTGGCCTTTCTTAGTATTTGTGGCTACATTTTGGGGCTGGGATTTCTTTGCATCTTGGAGCTTTGCTTTGTTGTTTGGTGGTGGTGGTGGTGGTGGTGGTGGTGGTGCTGTTGTTGCAGGATCCTTAAGGTGTACATGGTATTTCTGTCCCTTAGCCTCCTGCTCTGTGTCCCTAAAACCAAACTCACCATGGTCTTCTCAGCCCATCTCCAAGTCTCCACCCTTGAACCACCCTTGACTCTTCAAGTGCCATGGCCCAGCTCCAGGCCCTTCTTCCTGCTTCATGCAAGATCAAGCTTCTTGATGACAGCAGCCATCACTTCCCTCAAGGCCCTCCATCAGGCTCTAGGCTGAGCTGTTGGCAAGCTTGCCAGTGGTGGCAGGAGGGGGCTGTGCCCCCATGGAGCCGGGAACTTGCAGCCTGACCCAGGCACAGGTGGCTCTGGATTCCCATATGTATGTTCTCTAACCTGGGGTTCCCTTAGGGGGCTGCAGGGCCCTCTGGGGTACAGCCAGATGTACGCATGGAGTGTTCAGCTCTCAGGACTCTGTCGCTAGAATGAACATAGGCTCTTGGAGGATGGCAGGTTTTTAGCACCAGGACCAAGATGTAGGGCATCCTGTGAAGTACAGGTTTAGGGCTGCTCAATCATGTCCTGGCAGAAGAATCTGGAGTTGCTCTGGGTCTGCTTTGCCATGTCTTATTTGAGCTCTGTGCCTGAGGCCGTGTCAGGTGGCCGTGGTTGCACCAAGTGGAGAGAGTGGTGGGATGTCCATGGTGGTTCTGCTGTGTGGAGTCCACCACTGGCTAACAGATGATCCACTAGCTTGCCTATAGCCTCCTGGGGGTCTCTGCAGTGTTACCTGAACTCCCACCTGCTTCTAAACAAAGAGAGGCGCACCCAGCCAGTCAGAAAAGGGATGCACCTTGGTGCAGGTCCAACTTTGTTTGTTTGCAAAACTAGTGTTTACTCGGGACGTTTGGGCTTGTACTCTGCTCACTTCACCTTAAGTGAAGATGGGAAGCGGGTCCTGTCCTTCTAGGGCTGTTCCTGGATATATTATCGAGGCAGAACACAGCCTTAGCTCTCAGACTTTGGAGGTGATGCTGCCTTGGTTGGCAGCTCACCTTCCCTCCATCTCTACCCCATTCACTTGCTGGGAGTGAGAGTGTTTGCTTCCTCAGAAACTACTTACAATGCACAAGGGACAGAGGGGACTCAGCAGGCTCTGCTGCAGTTGCCTTCTCACTGCCCTGCCTGGACAGGGGATGCATGAGCACAGGGCATGACTGTCGAGGGCATGAGTGCTGGTGGTGCTGAAACATAGGTGTGCACTTCCTTGTGTCTGGGCAAGTGTGCAGGCGTGTATGAGGTTTATGCATTCATGAAAGTAGGAACAGGAGTATTTAAAGCCTGACCCGTGTGCCCCCGGACCTTCAGGATAACAAAGCATTTTGCAAGTGCAGTTTTAAAAAGTACTAATATGTGATAGAGAAATAAAAGGGGCAGGGGTACTAGACACTGGGCACCTGTTGCAGTTTCCTTTTTAAGTTAAATTCTGCTGATACACATGTAATTTATTCCCAGAAGTTTACATGCATGGTGCTTAGTGGGAGTTTTTTGTTCTCTTGCCAGCTACATGGTTACTTGGAAAATGAGCCACTCACTCTACAGCTGTTCATTGGGACAGCGGACGACCGCCTGCTGCGGCCCCACGCCTTCTACCAGGTCCACCGGATCACAGGGAAAACCGTTTCTACCACCAGCCATGAGGCCATCCTGTCCAACACCAAAGTCCTGGAGATCCCGCTGCTGCCGGAAAATAACATGCGAGCCATGTAAGCCTCCGGGGGCTCTGGCTGTGGGCGACGCTGCTTTGCCTGTGCATCCCGGGGCTTTCCCACAGCCCCAGGCCGGGTGTCATGGCTCAGCATCTGAATAAACTTTGCAAATATTTATGACAGCGGATTTGTTTCTTTCTAGGGTTTCATCCACTGTGTGTATTGCCACTTAAAATAAGCATCTCCATTACACAGCTGTAAATACCTCCCCCAGTGCCTCATTTAGCTCCTAAATATGACACCTATTTATTTCTGAATATAGCAGTGCAAATTAGAAGAATGGTTGAAATGTAAACATTGAAAAACGAAAGAAAGCAATATCTCTGGGTAGTAGTTTCACTCTAAGAGTTGCTGACATTGCTGATATGGCTAGTTCTGGCATGCAGAGTCAAATTAGTTTAAAAGGAATTTATCAATAAGAGGAAGACATACCAGGTAATGGAAGAGAGGGTATATTCACTTAATCCTATGAAGTGAGTGACTATTGTGTGCCACGTTCATCAACCCTGAACTGTGAATGCAGGAAAAAGAGAAAGAGAGAGGGCACACTGGTTGTTCCCATGGCGTTTGCCTTGTACTGGGGACCCATGGAGGGGGCAGGCAGATAATTAATACATATATACAGACAGAGAAGCCAAGCTGAGGTGGTGGTAACGAAAACTCACAGTAAGTGAAATAGAGTGGGTGCTAGAGGGCTTGGAGCTGCTCTTGGTGGCCCGGCAGGGATAGTGTCTCCCGGCAGGTACCGTTTAGATGAGAGCTGATGTACAGGAGGGGCTGGGCATGTGGCGAGCTCAGTGGTCACATGCAAAAAGCCATAAAGAAGGAAGGAATTTCGGACACCTAGTGGCCAGTGAGGAGATCATTGTGTCCAGGCTGACGCGGTGATAGGAAGAGTGTAGATTGAGGCAGGTAAGGGCTCATTCGTGCAGGACTTTGTTCGGATCCTAATAAGTTACAACTTTTAAACCCTTTGGTTGAAAACAAAGGGAGAGCTTTCTCTGCGTGTTGGCTGTTGATGAATTTGAGGGAATTTACGAATGTGTGGGTTTACTTCCTAAGCTGTAATCCAGGTTTTCCAAGGCCTGGCATAAGGCCAGAGGGTCCAAAGGAAGCTTTGTGTTCCTTCAGCCACAGGAACTATGAAGCCAGCGATTGTTGTGCTTGTGCCACAGTGCAGCCCAGGAAGGGGATGCCCCCAGCACACAGAGCTCCACTCCTCCCAGGACACACCCAGTAAATAGCACTTGCTGCTGTCCACACTGACTCACTGATCTCCACGTGACCCCCTGAGGGGTAGGAGAGGCACACACGGGTTTTAGTCCCGTCTCGTGGCAAATTGAGGGAGGAAAAGTATTGGCTTTTATGGCATCAAGAATTTATACATGGAGGAGGGTTTTCCTGGAGTCTAAATTTGAAAGAAATTATGAAGTCATATAAAACCCTAGAAAAGGGTTTACAAGAAAATGAGGAATTTGCAACTGAGTGAGGAAAGCAGTGGCCCAGCCAGGGAGTGTGTTGGCTTCCTGGGAGAGCTGTAGGATGAGCATCGAAGATGGCAGGGCCCACTGCTCTTCCACCTGGGCTGCCGAAGTTAGCTGGCCCCCCAGACACGGCCTGGGGTGGCGGGGACAGGGAGTGTGCCCCTTGTGGCCATGGGGTGGAGGCCGTGTCCTCGTGGCCACTTCAGTGAGCACCAGATCCCAGACCGCACTCAGCTAGGCACTGGTGCCTCGGGCTGGCTTGCTCACCTCGGGGGCCTACCCTTGGGGCCTGGGCGGGGGCAGCCTGGTGAGGGGAGGCACCAGTGACTGAAGCCAAGCTGTGGTCTTTTGTTTTGGGCAGCATCGACTGTGCTGGGATTCTAAAGCTCAGAAACTCTGACATTGAGCTGCGGAAGGGGGAGACTGACATTGGGCGGAAGAACACCAGGGTGCGGCTGGTCTTCCGAGTCCACGTCCCGCAACCCAATGGCCGGACCCTGTCCCTCCAGGTTGCCTCAAACCCCATCGAATGCTGTAAGTAGACCTCCAGGGATGGGTGGCTGAGACTGGCCTGACTTACGCTTCTCTACTTCTGTGTTTGAATAGACTTGTGGCCTGAAATCTTGCCATCCGGTGTTTCTATTTCTGTGAGTTCCCTGAAGCTACAGTACCTCTCCCCTCTAAACAAGACTAGATCTCTGTGTCGACTGTAGGGTCTGGGTGAGCCACATGTTGCAAGTAGCTTGGTGTGGCACAGACCCTGCCTGGAGATCTTGCTGTCCTGACCCCATCACCCATAGGAGAAAACAGAAACCAGGGCCTACCTGGAAGCTCTGAGAGAGGTGTATTGCCCACATTTGAATTGATTCTCTATCAAGGTTTGGGGGAACAAAAAGGCACTGTAGTCCTTCAGACTGAGCAAACTTAAATGTTCTTCCTTTGTTTTGCCGTGTTGGGGATGCAACTAGGGCTTCCCGTATGCTGAACAAGTGCTCCACCATTGAGGTACACCACCCAAATGGAAACTGTGTAGAACGATACATGACTGCTCACCTTCCTGGGCTTTTGCTCCTCTAGGTTGTGAGGGGCCGCAGCAGAGTATGGTCTGGATGCTTTCTGGCCTTGGTGCAGTGACAGCCTGCTGGAGCTGGTGGTAGGGGCTCTGGCTTTTCCTTTGCTCTGCTTCGCTGATCCTTGGTTAGCGAGCCAGGTCCCTCGCCAGCTCTGTACGGAAGCATCCGAGTCCCAGCATCGGCATCCCCGCTTGTCACTCTCTGCACCCATGAGCCCCTCATCTGTACTGAGAACTGAACATTGGCCCCTCGAGGTGGTCCAGCCCTACAGGGGAGTGCAGAATACTCAACCAGCCCTTGGTTCCTGTCCCAGTCCACTGCCTTCTCATGGTCTGTCCCTCCTCTGGCTCCTTGGCCTTTGTCACCTAAAGGGCAAACACCCCAGGAGAAGGTGTCAGAAACTGTGGCTTCCAGCTCCTCACTACAGGTTCCAGGGCAGCAAGGGGTATGGGTCGCTCTGGGTGCCCACCCGAGCCTCCAGCCCCAGCCTTCCGTGGCAGTGACCTGAGTCTTCTCACAGTCTCCAACTGGAAAAGCAATGTGGCCCCTGCTCTGTTTTCCCTGTCATCTCCCAGACACTCTCTGTGTTCCCCCACCCTGTATAGGGCAGTTCGGGTTTGTGACCAGATGTGGACTTGGAGGCTCCAGCGGACTGATAGCCTTGCTTTCCTCAGGCCTGGGCTGGTCTTGGTGAGGTGGGCTAACCTTGCCCAGGGACCCCTCTGAGAGCACCGTGCAGGTGCTCATGAACATCACACTCCTCACTCTCCTCTGTTCAGAGAGCAGTATCCTCAGGCAGCCTGGTGGCCTCTCTCCTCACTGCCTGCAGGATTCCCTGCCTATCCCTGCTCCCAGCCTCTGCCCGACACTTGCACTGGCTTCTGTATCCTGGCTCCTCTTGTCCTAGGGTCTCCTTGTGCTTCTGTGGGATGAGCCATCCTCATGGCCATGACCCCAGCCCACACTGGAAGCCATCAGCCTAGTGCCAGGCACATGCTGCCACCTCACTGAAGCCTGGGGCCAGGAGTCTCATTGGTACCAGCTTCCAAGGACAGTCATGTTTTGTTTGTTTGTTTGTTTGTTTTGTATTAAATTCTTTTATTGGTACATTGTAGGTATACAACACAGTTACATTTCTCATTGGGAACTGTCCCTTTACATGATGCATCTTGGTTCTTATTTTTTCCCCATTCCTAGCCCTCCCTTCACCCCCTCCACCCTTCCCTATTTACAAAGACTTT